AGCTGCGGGGTCACCCGGGCCCGGGGTGGTGCTGGGTGTCCCCTCAGGTGAGCCGCTCCGGTCCCCCTGGAGCGATCGCGACAAGGACGATGCAGCGATGCTGGGGGAAGCGCTTTGTCCCCGGCCCCGCAGACCCGCAGCCGCTCCCGGGTGCCCTGCCCCGCACAGCCCGCACCGGCTGAGGGTTGCACAAGTGCCTCCCATCCCTGAAAGTTACATTTGTGGATTTAACAAACTTTGGACTCTCTGGCCCGGATTTATCGGAGATTTTGGGAACATGAAGAACTTTTCCTTTCAACCTTCGGCACCGCACGGGTGGCTTAGAGGCGACTTGAATCGCGGCAGCTCCTTTTCCTCTCCTTTTCTTCACGCTTTTTATAAACCCAGATGAGAGTTGGTGTCCTCGGAGTTTCTTCCGGACTTTGTTGCTCCCGCAGTGCCCGGCTGCTCAGCGCTTTGCTGGCTGGGTGGTACTTCAGGTTGTCTTCCTGCCCGAGGTGTCTCCTGGACTATAAATTACAACCTTGCTTTATATCGCAACCCTGCTTTTAAGTGTAATTAAAGTCACGGGGTGCTGCATAAACAAGCTCACTGAATGGGAGACGCTGTCTCCTGTGCTGGTGTCCATAACCTCCCATGGGAGATAAACCCTCGTGTCCCACCCTCCCTCCCCTGCCTGCCCTGCTCCTGCCCAGCCCCACCAGGGAGATAAATATTTTCTGTTAATCAAATGCCTCTGTCCCAGGGCCGGGTGAACGCGGTAGTGCAACCCAAAGGGCTTTTTGCTGTTTATCCCTTTTCAGCCAGGGAATATCTTGATTGAAATTCCCACTCTCCCGGTTTGCATCAGCCTAACGTCAGCTCATGGTTTGGGGTTTTGCTGCGTCTGTGCCTGCAGGAGCATCTGTTCCTCCCCTCCCCGGCATCCCGGCTTTCCCAAGCTCTTCCCCTTGGTGCTGGACGTGTTTGGCCCGTGGGCATGATGTGACCTCGCTGAAGCATCCTTCCCTCCTTCCCTGGGGCAGCCCCGGCACAGGCTGGAGAGTAAGGGAAATATTTCTGTGGTTGCATCAGGGTGTTCCTGGTTCCCGCCTTTCCTGTGGATACTGGGAGCTCCTGCACCGCTGGGGCTTCCCCAGCTGCTTGCAACGCCCTGTCCTGAGCTTCCCCCCACCTCCCCAGCTCTCTGGGCTTTTCCCACAGAAGTTTGTCCAAGGCCAAACCCCAAGGAACCACTTTTCTCTGAATGTGTGTGCTCCTGGGTGACATTTGCTGTGTTGTGCTTGGGGTGCTTGGTGTGCTGAGATCCAGGAGGGGCCTGGATGTCCCCAGCTTCTCCTGCTGAGTCCTCTACTCATGGAGTAGTTCAGTCCCCAGCAAGATGTGACTTCCCAGGGGGCCTGATCCTGTTTAAAACCTGCTGGAAAACCCAGCTGAGGGGCTGTCACCATGCCCTGGGGAGATCTTCAGGGGAAGACAAGTGGTGGAGGCCAACATGGTGAGGGAGAAGGAGGGATGACAGTCAGAGTAACCCAGCTGGGTGTGAAGGAGGCTCAGCCCTGCCTTGGTGGCTGGTCATCTCTTTTCTTCTGAGGTGTAAGCCTGGAGTCTCCTGGCCATGAAGGACATTGCTGGGGTTTGCACACACAGGTGTCAGCCCCATGTCCAGGCTGTCCCCATGTGTTCCTTTGCCCAACCCACGCACCAAGGCACTCTTAAACCTTCCTGGGTCATGACAGAGTGACCTTTCCCTGGGGAAGTAATTTGTATCAACTTGTATTTAAGTGAAGCAAACATCTAAACAAAAGGAAAAGCTTTTACACCCCCAAACTCCTGCTCGTTCCTCCCCACCAGGCTTTGTTCACTGCCTTGTGCTGGGGTGAGCTGGGACAGGCCCTGGCTGAGGGCTCTGCAGTGCTGGTGCCCAGGCAGTGCCTCCACCAGTGTCCCAGGGTGGTGACAAGCCTGTTTCTATCATGTGTAACTGGATTTATATGATTTTTTTTCCTGGTGCAGCGCCCAGTTAAGAGTTTTGGGAGGGCTTTTATGTTCTCAGTGGTCTCACATGCAGTACAGGAGATGGACAGGATTTATCTGGGGCTGGAATTAGAACTTTTCTGGATTTCTCTCATCTAGGGGGTGCTGGAGTGGTAGTGTCTTAACAGCTCTAGGTTTGGTCCTTACTAGGCTGAATCCAGTTGTGACCATCTGAGAGCAACATTCCTGAAGGCAGGAGAGCCCTTTTCCCCAGTGGGAACAGGTGTACCTGGGATCCATCCCAGAGGACACCAATGCCAACACAGTTCTGTTTTGCAGGACTAAGATGGTTTGGATGAGATGCTGAAAGACTTTGCTGTGATGGGGAGGGAAGTAACAGGCTTGGAAATGTCCTGATGACCTCTAGTGCTGCCCTTAGTGGTGTCTGCCTCCCCTAAAGCTTTTTTTTTTTGCCTTGTCTTATTAGCTACAAATGGTCTTGAACCTGCTCAAGATAGTAATGGCTGTTAATGAGGCAGGGTGGGTGCTGGGCTTGTGTCCATCTGGCCATCTTCTGGTTGCCTCTCCTTGTTGCCACTTACAGGGGGCTTGCATGTTGGGACTGGCATTTTGGGGAGAAGGGCCATGGAAAAGGGGATCAGGAGGTGGCCAAGCCCTTTGCAATTGCACCCCTTTTCAACACTATTAAGGACCATGTTTTTAGAGTTACTCCTGTTGGCAAGAACCTCTGGAGGGCTCTGGTCCAACCTCCCCAATGAACTGCAAGGCTGCACAGAGTGAGACTTGAAGCTCTCCAAGGACTGATATCCTTGGAGATCCACCACCTCCCCAGACCCCTCTGTTGCCACCCTACACAAAGAATTACTCTCTTCATACCCTGTTAGGATTTCTCCCCCTTACAACTTGTTGCTTCTCATCCTTTCACCTTGTATCTCCACATCTCTCTAACAACGCAGGTTCCATCAGGGCCATAAGCAGCTCCTTCAGCTTCAAACTATTCCCTGTTTGGCTTTGAAGCTGGCAGCTGTTTGGGATTTTGGAAGCAGTCTCACCAGCCCTCAGCATGGTGACCATGGCATTTCAGGGTGCAAAACACATTCATGTTGCTTCTGGCTTGTTCCACCAGCAGCCCTGCTCAGCTGGACACTACCAGCCAGACCTTTTTCTGCCTCAGTTAACAGAGGAGAAGAAAATCACCTCATTTTTTGTTAATGTACATGTTCAATTTGTCTAAAAAAATTTCTCAAGTTTCCTCTGAAACTTCAGCCCAAAACTGTGAATCAATTGGGAAAATTAAAATTGATCTTGATGGAAATGACAACCTCCCCTGCATATTCTTGATAGGAGTTAAATGTCCACAAAAATGAAGGTTGATAGTTGTTAATGTGTTTGGGTAGGGAACAAGAGCATCTGGAGCTGCTTGGCATGGTCTCCTGGCCTTTGGGTGGGTGGGTTTTATAACTGACAACCTGGGCTGTCTCCTCTGTGGTGGAGCTGGGACCTTTCAGCGTGGGCAGCTGTCTTCTGGCTGGACAGGAGCTGATGGTTATGCTTGCTTGTCTATGCAGAAAGGGTCAGCTTCATCCTGCTACGTGCCTCTTGGGGTGCTCCACTGGGTTTTCCAGTGTCCCTGTTGCTCCTGCCACAGGGCCGTGGCCTTGTTGGTGCTGTATGCAGGAGAAACCCCAACTCTCTTGGGTGTCTCCCATCCCCAGAGGTTGCATTGCAGAGCCCTCACTGAGCTGATGGACCTCAAGGAGTAGAACAAATGCTTTTTCACTTAAAAAATTGGAGTTTTAATATTTTTCTCCATAGAATACCTTAGGTGGGAGGGGGTCTCTGGAGGTTGCCAACCTCTGCTCAGAGAGGGGCTGGCTCCCAGCATGAGAAGGATTTCTTTATTTTTACTTCCATGAATCCCAGAAGGATAAAGAATCTGAGACACAGGGTGCTTTTCCTGCTGCTCTCACCATGTATCCCCAGAACCTGGGATGGGGTTGTCTCCATCCCCATCCTTTTGCTGATTTGCAGCACATGGTAATTTCATGTTTATTTCCAAAAAGCCCCATGCCTGCTCTGGTGGGGAGCAGAAGGGCTTCAGCTGATGCTTGTTTGGTTTGGAATTTCCAGGCAGAGTAAGCAAGAGGCAAGGTGCCCTTGTGCAAATTTTCCCTAAAATAGGGGGAGGTTGGAGCACCCGAAGTACGACTGGATTTGAGGAATGGATTTTAAAAGCCAAATGCAGATTGTGGTGAAGATTCACTTTGCATGTAGATGTTAAAGAAAATGCACAGCTGTAATGCAAAGAAAAAGGCAGTGGGGGGGAGGTTCAATGAACTTGAGTGGAAACAAATTGCAAGAATCAACCTTAACGGCAGGAAGGTCGTGGAAATAACGTTCTGGCATGAAAGGCAGAGCAAAGCTAATTAAATATTTAATGCTCGTAAAAGGCACCGGCACATCTTAAGGTATTAAGTGTGATAAAGATGTAAGTAGTTGGCATTGGCATCTGGTCCAGACAAACCTGTTTGCTGCCCCCTGTCCTGTTGCAGCCAGCCCTGGTCTGGCCTCAGGGATGTCGCCCTGGCCCCTGGGTCACATGTGGCCTCAGGTATGTCACCCCCAGGAATGTCACTCCAGCTCCTGGGTTGCCACAGGCTCCCTGCAGCATCTAGCTCCTGGCCACGGGGCAGGTTTTTTTTGGGAAAGATAAACCAACCTCGGGAAACAGGGAATTTACAGCAGAGACTCAGTTTGAACCCAGACTGTGTGACCTGGAAGCTGCAGGCTGTTGCATAGTCTTTGTCTGTGCTTTTGAGATGGAAAAAGAGGAGTTGCAGCATCTCCAGCTGCAGGGATCAGAGGGCTGGAGGAGAGCCCCCCCGGGGCTTGGCAGGGTGGCATGGTCAGCAGGGTGGTTTCCTGCAAACACTTCAGCTCTGTGCAAGAAAAAAGAAAAAGGGCATAAACTTGTAAAAGAGAAGTGTGGGGCTTCCCCAGGCTGCCAGGAGCCAGTGGGGCTGCCTTTCCCAGCGCCCCTTCACTCCCAGACTGCACTCAGTGCTGGAGAGAGAACCCAGGCTGGGGCTGTTACATGTCCTTTGGGGGAGGGAGGGATGGATGGTTTGCTTGCGGTTATTTTTTATTTTGACTCTTCTTGCTGCTGTCCCCGACTCCAGGCTAATAAGCACTTTTATATCCCCTGCTTCCCAGGAGCATCCCAGTGCTAACAGAGATCTCGTTCCCCTTTCCTTATGGGGCTGTTCTCACTGCCGGGGTGAAGCCGAAGCGTCGGGCGGGGAAAAGCAGCAGGATGAGGCACAGCTCCCTCAGCTCCACCACAGCTGCTGAGCTCATTTTTGAGCTCATTAGTTCTGCTTGGGAGCTGATGGAAGGCAGTTTGTAAAGATGCATTTAATGGGTGAAAAGTCATCAAAAGATGTTTTCCAAGCTCGGTTGTGCCGGTGCAGTGTCCAGCCACCAGCGCTGTTTGCAACAGTGGTGGGTGCCAGCATCCTGTGTCCTCTCCTCACACCTTTGTTTGAGAGAGGGATTTGGGGTGCAGGATGCTGCCAGCACTGAAGTGGGGGGAAACCACAGGAAAACTTCATTTAAAAAACCAAAAACCTCTCTTTTTTTGCAGATTGGGAGCTTAGAAAACTACTACCACTTCCACCACAGCAAGACGTTTAAGCGCTCGACGCTGAGCAGCCGGGGACCGCACAACTTCCTCCGCATGGACCCCAAGGTATGGGGCTGGGCAGGTGGGGGTCCCCCAGCCTCCATGGGGGAGTCCCTGCTTCCCCCTGGAGGAACCTGTTGGGCTTGGTGTGGATCAAGCATGAGCACGAGCATCGTGACCTGTTCCCCTGGACCTGCAGCCCTGTGACTCACTGGGCACGGGGACATTGATCGGTGATAAAATTCTTCGAAGTGACTAAACGCTGAAAGCCAGGAGGAAGAAAAAGGGGGGGGGGGGGTGTGGAA